CTTAGCTGAGAACTATAGAAACCTGAGTTTAATTCAGCTGAGAACTATAGGGGCTATTTTAATTTTAATCTTTCAGCTCAGCTCTACAATCAACACTTTTGACACCAGCAGTCAGACAAATTACACTGGGAAATTCTGCTTTCAGGGACCTCTCCAGAGTACTTAATATAGTCTTGCATATTTATTTGTATTTTCTACAAATAACATTTTTATATTATCCTACAAATTAATTAATGAATAGTGTAGGGCATGCAAGAGTAAACATTCTGAAAACATCATCTATATTCAACTACCTTAATAGAAAGAGTTATTGAGGATGGAGATTTAGGGCAATAGTCCCAACAGGAATCAAGGCCAACAGGCATAGTATAGGCAGTCCACACTCAATGTTTTGCATCATATTTGAGTAAGTAGCACCTGGAATCTTAACAGCTTTCAAGTAACCCTCAGAAATGTTATTATTGATCTATCATATTCTGTAGTAAAGAAGAGTGGAAAAAAAATCTATTACTCAAGTAAATAATGAGGCTAAAGAACTAAAGCGAAAGTGCTTAGCTACTGGTACTTTCCACTCCGGTCAGGATCACATGGAAAGTATATAACAGAGAGGGAGGAAAATATAGAAGAAAAAAATATCAAAACCATTGGAAAGATTAATTCTACTCATCTGACAGTGTCTGATAGAAATCCAGAGACTGTGGTCTTCTACACACATCAAGCTTGGAACTAAAATAATCTCAGGAAGTCACCTTTCAACCACATAAAAGACAGGAATATGAAGAAAAGAATAATACCAGAGAGGAACATTCTTCTCAGTACTAGCAACTATAACAGACGTAGAGGGCAACATCTATCCAAAAACAAAGGTCTGAAATCAAGAAAGAGTTGTAAGCAGGGACAAATAAAAATCAGGCAATAAGTGAGGAAGTAAGAAGTGTGACACTACATTGAGAGCTTGGGTTCAGTGCCACAAAGCAAAATGCCTATAAATTGTTGAGTAGAAATTGAATTCAAAATTTTACCCAAAATACAAAAGAAACAAAAGAAGATGAGCAGAATGGCTGATTGTGCAAAGGTGTGTTTTCTGGCTTGGGGTTGAGACTAGGGTGTGACTCTTGCAAACAATAGGGTGTGAGCTATTCAGATTTGGCCTGACCTTTAAAAAAGTTTTTGGGCCCTTGGGTCATAAGCTCTAGGACCTGGTTTTTGTGAATCTCCCAAATAAAACAGTATTGGAAGCAGGAGTCATATCCACTTCCAAAAAAAGCTTGCTTCCAGGAACTGTATGAACTTGAGGGAAAGATGTAAAATTTTGTGCTCAAGACTTTCATTTATAGGGTTGTTATGAGTTGTCTATGACTACGGCACTTAACAACAGTAACAATCTAGTTTTACTGACATGTCAATTTCCACAATTCCTTCTGATTACCCTATCTCTTAAACTTAAATTAGGACTCCCTATATATATCACTATACACTGAGGATGGCACAAGATCGGGCTGTGTTTATTCTGTTGCAAATAGGTTCAAGTCCCAGCCAACATAATAGCATCTAACCAGTATGGTATGATTGCATTTTACTTATCTTTTAAAAATGTTATTTGTTCTTTTATGACAGAAACAATGAAATATATGCATAGCTCCAATCTCTCACAAACTACTTGTCCTATAAGTGGCACTCCATGATATTTATTGAATGGATGAATAAATGATTCAGTGAATGAATAGTTGTATAGAGGCTACAAAACCCTCAAGAGATTGACCCTTGAAATATGCTCAATAACCCCATTCTTAACATTTTAAAACCTTTTTCTGCCTAAAGACAAAAATCTAGTTATGCTGTCCTCATGGTTCTTTGTAACAGAGAACATGAATTATAACAGATTATAGCTCCTAAGATCTTACAACAAATGCAAAATGCCCTGTAGGACATTCATCTCTCATATCGCATTATATTTTTAAATGATAATTGTTGTCATAAATGTTCTTCTCCACATTTCAGCTAGTTAAA